AAAATATATCAAAAATGCATGTGGGTACTCAAATGAAAACTCTTAACGAGTGTAACATCGGGATGAGCTTATATCTTTAAAAATATCAATAATTAAGAAATGACCTTATATCTTGTGTACTATTGACATTTTCAAATATATAAGCTCATTCCGATGTAACACTCATCAAGACCTTTCATTTGAGTACCTACATCAATTTTTCATATATTTTATATATTTATATTTATTATATATATTTATTTATGAAAAATATATCAAAAATGCATGTGGGTACTCAAATGAAAGGTCTTGATGGGTCTAACATCGGGATGAGCTTATATCTGTAAAAATGTCAATAGTTCACAAGATACAAGGTCATTTCTAAAATATGTATCTATAGATCGAGCATTTTCGAATGTAGCCTAAATACTTATAATTGTAAATTGACTATCGATGATAATTATATGAAATCTTGAAAAGGTACAAATTAAAATCAAGACCTTTGTAATTACACTAAATCTCACTAAAAAAAACCGATTTTATTATATGAATATCCTGGATAAAAAATTTTTCTTATTCTCTTAATAATATAAATTAGTTAAAAAAATTTTTTTTTAATTATCAGATATTTCTCAATTTTATTACCATATTTTTATGATACTAAAATTGACAGACACTTTACAATTTTTTTAATACTAAAGTTAGCCGAGGTTTTTAATTTTTTGATTTTGATTCAATTATTTAATTAAAACTAAAAAATATGTTTCTTTTTAATTGCAATTACACTTTTTCAAATTTTTTACAAATTAAATTTTAAAAAAATATCCTTCAATTTTTAAATATTGGCTAACTTAACTTTTATTAATTTTTAATACCTAAACAAGATCTAAAAAATTATTTCTAAAAAATTGCATTTTATATTTTTTTAAAGCTCCTAAAAATATAATTTTATATAATTAATTTATTAAAAAAATAAAAATCAATATAATATAAGTGTCTAAATTTCAGTATCATTAAATAAATTTTCCATAAAATTTCTTCACAAGTGTGATGATACTGATGATAAATAAAATTGCTTTCGAGCTTCTGACAGTTCTTTACACCAGTTTCGCACTGTTGTATATAGTAATTTAAAATTTAATCCAAAATGTATCAAATTACAACATTAATATTTACCAATAATAGTAATAATAATAATATTAATAAAATTTAATATAATTACAAAGGACAGTGCGGACGTTTATAGTAATATTAATATAAATATTAATAACCTAATGTAGCTTAACACGATTGACTGATAAAATAAAAAAACAATTAGATAAAATAAAATAAATGTATAAATAAAATGCGTGTGATGGTTAGCGGCAACGGCAGAGTACGAGGAAGACGTCGCCGCCGGGGTGGTCTCGGCGGGGTTGGTGCGCTCGGTAGTGGCGATGGTTTGGCGGGCGGTCTTGGTAGATCTGACCCCTCGGGGATGCCTTCACGTTGGTACACTCTTTTGGCGCTTCCATTCCCCGACCAGCACCTCGGGCGCCGTGATCTCACTGCTCGTCGGACTGCTGATCACCCTTACTCTTTCAACCTCTCAGCGGCTCATCGCGCTGGCTATTTTTCTAATCCTTCTTTATAAGAAGGACTACAAATTTTATTTTTTATTAATTGAATTAATTTTAATAGAATCGCTGCCAATAAGTTTGAAAATCAAAAAAAAAATAATAATTTTAATTGAAAGTGAATTAAAAAAAAAAAAAAACAATACAAGTACCTAGATAATTATGCCATTACTATGACCCACTACCTAATCGCCCGACTACCGCCTTCTTCTACACACCATCACCAACTCAATATCAACGTCTCTTCTCGACACCATCAATTCAGTGTATACTGACGTGTTTTAGTCAAGGTAATTCATTAATTCCTGATGAAGAACACCACACACACACACACACACACACATACGATATTATGGTGGTCATACATTGATAAAAAAAAATTTACTTGATTTAAGAGAAAATTTTTTGAGATAAAAATATTTTTTTTTAAGAGCTTAATTTAAGTAAAAAAATTTTAATTTGCACTGTACTTTCTTAAATATTGACATTTTTTAAGATATAAGCTCATTTCGATGTTATACTCATGAAGAGCTTTCATTTGAGTACCAACATGCATTTTTCATGTATACATATATATAATATATATATATATATATGAAAAATTGATGTTGGTACTCAAATGAAA